CAGTGAGTCCGGCTGGACTCCTTGAGCTTCTGTTCTTGGCTTCAAGGATGGCTTCACCCTCTCTCTCTGCCCTCAGGCGGGTGGCGGGGTCTGCGTCTGGGGGTGCTGGACCCACTGTAGCACGGGGTCGGGGCAGCTGCCGGGCTGGGAGCACCTGTGGGGAGAGCGCCAGCTTGGGCCCCGCTCCAGGCGTGTCTTCCTACTTGGTGGCAGGGATTTGAAGTCCAGCTGGTGGCTCTTTGGGTTTCTTGTGGGTCCGTTTTGGGGGTCTCCCCTCGGAGAGAGGGGCCGCCAAGAGGGGCAGGACAGGCCGCGGCTGGGCGCGTACCTCCAACTCTCTGGCCTCTCGCTCTCCCCGCTTCTGTTCCCCCTTTTCCACGTTCCCTTTGCTCATTTCTGAGACCCGTGTCAACTGTATGTGCGTCCCACGCCCTCCCTAACATATATGTATATACACGTCCGTATACATATATCGTGTGGTTGCCCCTTCTCTCCTTTTTTTAAGAAACAGAACTATCAAAATAACACCCCAACAGATGAGCGAAAATGTATTATTGTAAAGTTTATTTTTTTTAATGATGTTGTCTATAATGGGAGGAAAAGGAAGCCGGCCCTTGCCCTCCTCTGTAGGGCCGCGTGGCCGCGTGGCCACGTGGCCATGCGTGGCTGGGCTCCTGATCGCATTCGCGCTTAACCAAGGCTCCAATAAACGTATAGGACACGAGCTGCCTTCGCCTCACTCCGGTGCCTCGGCCCGTTTGTTCTCGGCCCGGTGCCGTCTCCTGGTTGCCGGCTTGGGGCCCTCCGTGAGTGTGGGGGGCGTGTATGTGTGCGTGCATGTGTGTGCATGCCTGTTGTATCCGCGTGCCCAGGTGTGAGTGGTGGAGCTCTGTGAGGGGATGGCCTCACACTCGCTGGGTCTGGGGTCTCAGCTATGCGGGGCCCACAGCTGTTCTGTGTCAGATTGTGCAGGGCTGGGGGAGCCCCACTTGGTGCTGCGGCTCGGGGTGGCCCCATCAACCCCAGAGAGGGGTGGGGTCCCCCCTGGGACTCCTGTGTGTTTAGGGCGTGTGGCTGGGAAGATGGGGCCTGGCTTCCTGGGTCCCACCGGGGGAGGAAGAGGTTGGTGTTCTGGGGTTGGGGTTTTCTTGTGTCCCCACTTTCCTGGTTTACCACCCTGGTCCCACCTGACACTGGGCTGCTGTTCCCCAGCCAGGACTGGGGTGTCCACGGGCCAAGTGCGTGTGTGCATGAAGTGCATATGCATGCGTGAGTGTGTGTGTGTGCGTGAGTGTGTGTGTGTGTGTGTGTGTGTGTAGTGCATGTGCATGCACGAGTGGGCACGTGGCAGGAGGAGGACAGGACTGGCAGGGGAGAGGAGGCCCCCTCAGCGTGGCCTTCAGGGCTGCATGTCAGCCCATGCTGTCACCATCGAGTGACAAGCTGCCATTTTCCAGCCTCCCAGTCCTGGGCCCCGTCGTGGCTCTGTGTCTGTCGTGCACGTGTCAGTGACATTGGTGGTGTGGCAACCTGGAGTGTGTGCTCCGGCCTCTGCATGGAGGAGGAGCAGCTGGCCCATGCTCAGCCGCTGCTAGCCTGTCTGTGTGTCCTCCGGGAGCAATAGCTTAGAGCGATTTACGGGAAGGGTGCGGACAGGAGGAGGCTGGAGTGAGGCGGGAGGCCCCTAGAGGCCTGCGGAGGTGAGGGCAGAGCCAAAGGACTCAAGGGCTCAGAGCAGGGTGGGTGGGATCAGCAGCTGGCCCTCTGCACTGGGTGACCCCTGCCCTTGCCCACTGGCCTAACTGGGCCTTGGGCCCAGCCCGCCATGTTTGGTGACAGCCCGAGGACGTGCCATGTCTGGTATCTCTCATAGGAGGTGAGCCCCTGGGCTCACCTAGAGGGGCTGTTATAAAGGAGGAATGGATAGTGGGAAGCGTTACTCTGCCGTAAACCCCTCACCATCCGGCAATCGCACGGCTGGGGTTTTACCATTCGGGATTCTTTCCTTTGGCTGAGACCTTTTCTGTCTTCTGTGATCCTCTCAAGTACGTGAATCAAACCAGGCAGAGTGAACGGTTACTACCTTGATATTAATTCAGTGGTGTAAATGAATCGTAGTAACATTTAGACCTTCAGGCCTAGATATTGAGAGTGGAGCTGGGGAATAGGTGAGGGAGGGAAATGGAAAATAATCGAGAGCAGGCTGGGAGGAGCCACCAACCGTGGGTTTCATTTCAGAGTTTTTGAGAGCGCGTAGCCACATGCAGTGTAGATCCATCACGCCTTGTTCCCAGAGTCAGCAAAGTGTGGAAAATGAGCTTAGCTGGCCACCAGCCCCGGGGACCCCGATCTGGGACGTGCGTCTGTCTGCGGCTGTCTGAGCCTGATTTCTAGGCTCTAGGACCGTCCCTCTGAGACGAGACAGAAAGGCTTCTCCCTTTGTGGGGAAGCTCCCGGCGGGGGACTCAGGCCCAGCTTTCCTCCCGGCCCTTGCCTCTGTTTCCCTCCTCTCAGGGTGGCTGGGACCACCCCGGCCAGTGGGAAGGCCCAGCAGAGACCCGCAGTGGGGTGCCCGAGGAGGTCTGCTGACCCAGCCGTGGCCCTCACAGCCAGGCCCGTGTCCAGGCCAGACGGGGTGGTCATCCTCGCTCTCAGCACCCTAGGCCCTTCGGCATCACCTACGTGGAGACAGGTGGCCCAGGGCTCAGCCCGCCCACGCGGCTCTGCTGGTCTTGCAGGAGACAGCCCGACTGGGTCCACAGGCTCTCGCAGGACCTGCTGCCTGCACCTTCCCCAGGCCAGCTGGCTCCTTCTGTGGTCACCGTGTGCCCAATGCCCACCCCAGAGCCCTGTCCGACCCAGTGCTGGCTGTCCCCTGGGTCCTGGGGTCCCAGCATCTAATGGTCCACCTGCTATGGCTTCATGCCCAGACGGTCCTATGTGTGTGCGCGTGTGCATTTGTGTGCGTGTGTGTTTGTGTGTGTGGCCCTTGTTCCTGGCTTCACCCCGAAATGCTGGGTCACATGCAGCCCTCCCTTTGGCTCACAGAGGCCTCAGCCCCAGTGTTGCCTGCTAGCTGGAGGAGAGCTTGGCCGCCATTTTCTCTGCCTGGTGGGTGGGGAGCCAGGGAGGGACGGGCCACCGCTCCGTGTCGAGAAGCCAGGTCTGCACCTCTGCCTGTTCTTCCCAAGGGTCTCACTGGGGGCAGATGGTCATCTTTGAAAAACGAGGCACTTCTTTTGTCCTTTTTTTTAGAAAAAGCCCAAGTCACTTGAAACCAAGGGTGACATTCATGTGGGCCTTGGTGGCAGGAGGCCTGGTTCCTGGTTGCTCGTAGGGTGGCTTTGGGGAAATCCGTCGCCGTGCTCACCCGTGGTCGCCTTACCTCAGCCCTGAATACGCTCTGGAAGGAGAGACGCAGAGGGGCAGAGACGGATGGCACTGGCCCCCTGCCCTGGGACGTGCCCCCGGATCCCTGAAGAACAGGCACGAGGCGCCTCTGCTCAGGTGGCCACAGGGTTTTCGCGTCCTGATATGCTCCCTGAGCACCTGACCGTGTCACCTTACATCTCCGTTAAGACAATGGGGGGAACAGGGAGGGTAGACACCGATGACAAAGTCAGGGCCGTGAACCGGGTGTCACCGGCAAAGTCCCCTCTGGTGGGCAGGGGGTTCCATGCTGGGCCTTCCAGAGCAGGCCCCCGGAATCAAACACTGCCAGAGGATGTTAATAGTATTCCTGAAAATGAAACCCAAACCAAATGTAGATACTCTGAAATGTGGACATTCAGGCCCAGCTGCAGGACAGGTGTACAGAGCCCCTGGGTGATACTGGGGCTACCCAGGAGACCCTGGGTTCAGGTCCTGGGTCCCCCCGAGCTTGTCCGACATGCCTGGGGCACCCTCACCTCGGCTGATGGTGTGATGAGCCCCTGTCTAGGGGGCTGTGCATGTCTCTCTCATAAGAAATGTAGACTT